TATATTTTTATATTTTCGTTCGTTTCTAAGTAATAAGGTTTAGAGCATGCTCACTCAGTAACTTCAAGGCTAACTTTATGACCGCCGCTTGGATGGTAAGCCACTCGTGCGTACGATAAATGGCGCAACTAAGAGAGAATCTTAGATTTGTTATTAATATGTGAAGAGACTTTGGACTTGTCTAAGTTAATGGTCACAACAACTTAGTATAAATAAATTGCCATGTACGTTACTGTTTATCTCTAACTTTACTAGCGTGTGACACTGAGCTGAATTAATTATATAATTACTACTATTATTACTATACTATAGTGAGTAAACTATAATAAGGCTAAGGCAATCAGCACAGTAGTTTCAGCACACAGGGAGAAACTGGGTACCTCAAACGTATGTTGTCTAATCGTATTTACCTAAATGATTTTCAGTGTAAACACGTTAGAATAGAACTTAAACTTATTTTCAATAAGAATCGTAACTTTAAGTATTTTATTCGATTAAATAGTAGTTATGAGCTGTACTAAATTTTGAAAAAATATATTTAGCCCTGTGTCGGGCAAATCCATTTTACTGAAGCTGCAACAAATACTTGATTTTTTGCCACCGCTAGAAAATTTCATTGTTCTATACAGTGGATAACAAATTTGCATCAAAAAAACTTACTACATGTGACAAACTACGACTATTAAAATTTGAGCATTATTATTTCGACTATAGTTTCGCTTGATACCATTGAAAATTTTATAATTTTCATTGCAGCAGACCAATGAAAAAAAATACACGTAATCATTGCAAAATAAGTTTTCTATTCTTCTAGTAAAAAAAAAAAACCGCAGAATGTATACTATTATCGTCTAATTTATTTATACAATTTTTATCGGTACCTCCTTCAGCCCCCAATGGCACAACCGCTTTAGCTGGTCAATCGAGCTTTACTAGTGCGTCCTTTTTTTTTTTTTATTTTTTGTTTAGCGCACCATTGCAATAGAAACTGTTAGGGCAAGGATCGGTACTCATTTTTTTTGGATAAGCATATTTTATGTGCACAATTAAAAACCAGTTTCAGTAGATAAGCATGAGCCAGAGAAAATAGATTTCGCAGAGGATGCCTTTATGCAACACGGGTGCATACGAGATGTTTGATATGCAATATACAGAACTATAATATAAAACAAACAATAAGCCCAAAACACTAGTACTACACTTACAACTTGAAGAAAAGTTTCTGTGGTGTTACTGTTTCAAAGATGGTTGATAGTTTTGACTCCAGTTGAAAATTCAATAGCAATGTTGTATGACTCGAAGGATTTAATTACATAAACATGAGCTCTACTTCTCTGTGTCGCGTTCAGAAATTCTCACGTCAGCAACCGGAAGTAGGTGACCTCATGAATATCCTTGAAGACCGCAGATGGCGTTGGCTGGTATGATGGAAGCAGTTCCAAATCTTCAGATTACGTTAGCGGTATAGTTAGTACATATTATCAATGACAAAAGTAGATCTATGGCAAGTCAGTCAGTTTCGTCGCCCACCCATTTGCATTTCTTCACAAATCAGTCTAGTTCTGCTTAGCGAAATTAAGTTGTTTTTTTTTTCTAAAATCATGCATGTCCTATATAATACGTTCATTGAAATAATCTATCGTTTTAATAATAGACCATTGCTTGAGCAGGATCAAGATGCTCTCAAAAGAACTTCCTGCCCGTTTACCTGTTTCCTAATAGATCTACCCACATCGAGAGAGTGGCAAGTTTAATAAATAATAGTGTACATATTTTCATCGTAACATGATTGTTATATATTATATTATGTAAATATATTGATTTGTCGCTATCTAGAAAAATTAATTCCTATGTCTGGATAGGAAATATTTGATCATGAACATTTTCTAAATCCTGCTGATGGATAACTTTGTGATGTCATCGTTACTATGGTGTGTTACTTCTTGTTAATCGTGCTATTGCTTTTAATGCCGATGGCGAGGAGCATGAACTCTAATTGTTTTGGCGAAACGAAAGCCGACCGTTAAGTTGAAATAAGGCGCTGGCCTAGGACACGGTGCGTCGCGACTTTGGCCCAACAACGTGTACTAGAAAATTAGATTAACTGTCATAAAAATCGAGCACGTTTCGCACAAGTAAAAATATCTTAAAGGAATTTTACAATTTCAAGTTTCAGTAATCAGTACATTGGCAACAGCAGATATGGACCATCTCAATTCCCTAATAATGATTCCTTCGGTGAGTCTTTCCGATATTTGCATTACTATCCCTTACATTGGGTAGTAACCCAATGAGATATACAAATGTATAGGTATATTTCATAGACAACTCAAAAGCTTCGTTTTAGTGCCTTTCTCTAAATAAAAAAAAAGCCTATTTTTATCATAATCTCATAAAGTATTTTACATTGGAATGTTCTAAAAGTTAAAAAAAAAAACGGTTACCGAATTAGACATTTAGGAAGGTGATGTTTCAAAAATGAGTAAAGGTTTTTTTCTAAGATAGTATTTTTAATTTGAATAGTGAAGATCGGTCAGACACATCGAACGGAGTACTATCAGTCGGCGTAAAAATCAAGCTAAATAATTTAAATGAACAATTTCTGTCTCGTGACAACAACATGGCCACTGTATTTGAAACAGTTAGAGCATTCTTATGCTTCAGAAAAATAGATGTTGCTGATCACGAAGCATAACTTTTTTTTCCCCCTCTGTAATAGTTGGCCTAACCATTAGTGGCCCATATCTCCCCACCCGAGTAACTTCGACTTGTGGGCCCATATAGGTCAATGAAATATGAGTCTTTCATTGATGTTTTCTCGAAAACGAAAAAAAAATATTATGAATCTGGGTTTTAAAAACTTCGGCATGTTAACCACTTCATGCTCAACAGATTAATAAGGCTTAAAATTGACTATTTTCTTATTTGCAATTGCCAGGAGTCCGTAAGGTAAATAGTAAAAGGATAAAATTAAAAAAACTAATAAAGGACAAAAATACAGTAAGCTTCTTGACATCTTCACAGTAAAATCGACTTAAATGTGCCGCATAGAAACCTATACGGGATTTAGGCTGTATCGATTATTCGGGATATACTCACGGGACGTTGGACGTCGGACGTTTTAGGCTTCGTAAACAGGCCGAAGTGTTACCAAGAGAAGCTGTCAGGGGATCGCCAGGTGGAGGAAACGGTGATAGTTTATTGAGTACTGAAAGCAGAAAACACTAACTAAAGCCCCAGACTGCAGTAACAAATATCTCGAACTGTGGTGTGAGCTTCATAGACGATATTCACATATACATTCCTAACAAAAATGGCTTTCCAAACACTAGCCCGTCCTCTTCAAGTATTGCGAGATTCTAGTGCTTCGAGTCTAGTCGTAAGATTTCGACGGGAACAATTTTGATTTACGGAAACCGCGGAGTGTAGTTTTTCTCGGCATCGGGTGATAAATGCCGTATTATACATAGGGGGTGTACATCTTGAATTTCTGCGCATTAGACTGGAATAAGATGCTAGAAGACGGTACGCAAGCGACGCCAATAAGATAACTAGAAGTCCGAGAAGCAGAAGGCTTCAGAAGATTCTTATCTCTGCGTTATCGTTTTTGCTTCTGCTGATCAAATACAGCCTCTCGCCAATAATTGTTTCTCATTTTTTTAATTTTATTTATTCATATTTTTAATTTAGGTTTCTAGCTTTTCTTTTAAACAGCACTTAAAAATCTTAACTACATTTTTACATATAGTTAGTCATGTTGCGATCAGTTAGAGTACAATCTCTTGCAACCTAGCACTTTTTCTACCTGCTCTCACTAACATAACTCAGGCAGCATTGAGAAGACTTTATGAAGGACAACACTTGTTGGCCTTTCTCTAAATTTAAGTTACCACTAAAAGGTCATATATATATATATATATATATATATGTATATATATATACATATATATATATATATATATATGACCTTTTAGTGGTAACTTAAGGTAGACATATATATATATATATACATATAATGTTCTTCAAAGAGTTCATTATCTGATTCTTGATAAAATAAAAATAAATAAGAATCTGTAGTTGTATGTAATAAATTATAAATTGCGAATTTGTCTAAGCATTTTCGATATGTCATATTGTAATATTAATCCAACATTTGAACCTTAAATTTAATGTAATTTTTAGGGCTTGCGTTAGACCGCAATGACCTGGCGCTCAAGCTATATGTGTATGAACGATACGTGAGCCTGAAGCTGATGGACATATAGCCGCACGGCGTTTCCACATACGCGATATTATAGTGCACTAATAGAAGATATCGCAAAAACATGATGTATCGTTCTGACGTTTAGTTAGTCCTGAACGTTTCCATTAGATGAAACCAGTTGGTTAATATTCCCGCGCCATCAGTCCTTTGAACTTCATATCGAATATATTCATGTAGAAATGACATTGCTTTTTTGTGGCAAGCAATTGGCATCGTCCAGCTATTGTATGGCGTGCAAGGCCCAGTCGCTAATTTCGACTTGTAGAGCCCAGATCGCAGGTATCGAAGCGACGTAACGGTAGACAATGAACAGAAGAGATTGTAAGCAACAGGAGTAGCATGCGTTTTCTTTTCCTGACGAGTACTTCATTGCAGCCGTCAGATCAGCTGGACGCCTGGTAACAACTACTGCGTAGGCCACTAGCGCCGTCGGTGCCAAAAAGGAATCAGCTGCTATTTAGTAGCTATTTTCAAAGCGATTGTCTACGTGAAACACTTGCTCGACACAGTCACCCATAGAGCTGAAATAAAGATTCATTTTGACGCGTTCATTATCCAATTCGTCGATCGAACAACTATTACGTTTCAGTGTGTACCACATAGATAGATATAGGCATATCTAGGAACGAGTTAAAAAGAAGAGTATCAGCCATTTGTCTCTCAAACACTAAATCATACCGTTGCTGTCCCAAGTAATTGAACAAAACATATATAGTTTACCAGTCGATGGCAAAATAAGTGATTCAACCAACTCTAATAAAGCTAATTTTTAAAATTTTTTTGTTATATCAAACGTATTCAATTTATTTATAACATAGCTAATTTTTGATAATTATTTACACTGTGATTATCTCCAAGGTAAGATACCCATATGAGGGTAATCCAGCATTTTGGACTTACATACATAACATGTTAATAGATGATAGTATGATGGGCAAAGTTGGAAAACGTTGAAGTTCAGTCGCTGGGTGATCAGAACGCTCAATAGCCCTGGCCTCATGTAGCTTTTCCAAGATAACTGTTATTTCTATAAAAGGCTCAATTATTGCTTCGAAATAATTCTAAGAAATGTCATAATTTTTTTTTGAAATCAGCTGAAGAAATCTGGTTTTTACAAAGCCAGCGAAGTGATCACCTTATCAATGGCAGTTAATACTATACTAGACAATATTGAGCACTACACCCTTTATTAAAGATGATACGGAACTTTCGACCTTCTCACTCGTGGCCCACGAACGACTCATCGGCGACAAAATTTCTCCCGGGGATCAACATGTCGTTAGAAAATCGTATTCATCATTTAAATTATAAAAATAAGCCTTATCGTTCGCACACCTCTATATACGCATCTATCTATACACGTTTCCTCTACATTGCATTCAGCCGAAAACACAGTCAAACTGACAGGATCGAAACGAAGTTTAGAACTGGCCAGTTCGCTGTCTATCGGCTGCTAGATTGAAATTATTTTCACACAGAAACCTTGACCACCATCTTTTTTCCTACGATTTATGGCGTTAGAGTGGCCGCGATTCAGGCTAATAACGTCCACGATCAAGGGACACAGCGCGTTCTCCGCGCGTTACTTCATGAACGCATCCAACTGTACTTCAACTTAATCGAATTAATTTCTCGCGCGTGTTAATTTTTTAACAGGTAGAGCATCAACCTAGGCTTCCGATACCATATGCTGTGCTTAGTCAAGCAGAAGCCGGTAAACTTTAGTAAATAATCCTGGCGGTCATGAAAAAAACAACTATGCATTGATTCAGAGTATGTGCTTAATTTCGGTCTTCGTAACGAAATGAAGAACGCCTTCTTAGGCTAGTTCGTACGTTTATATATATACACACACAAGATTGTAGTTTTTGCATTGACACTGTTTTAGCACTGAATATAGACAAAATATATGTAAACATCCTAATGTTAGATTCTCTCTGCGTGATCTCAATAGAAGCAGCCAAACATACGTGTCAGTCATCGCTCGTGCCATTAGTTCATTATCAATATTTCGTACAAACATAGAAGCCGTATCGTTTTTAACAATGTCACAATTTCAGAAGTTGCCAATGCTGGCTAAGATCAGGAGAAGTAAAGAACTTGTCGATCGATTATGTAAACTTGATGTCGATCGTGATGAGCGATAAACTGCTGGCAAAGATAAAACATTTTTGAAAGCTCCGTATAGATAACGTATAACTGTTTTGGTTACGGCAAGAGGACACTTTGCCTAGATCTATCTAAGCCTTATTGGTGCAATGTATATGAGTAAAAACACAGTACGGCAAACCAAACAAACTCGAACCTCCGACGAACAATTAAAGTCTGAGATAGGCGCATATCAAACGTCTCTGAATTTCTGTTCTGATGGGGAAATGGCAAAGAATGGTTTTTTCCAGCTAGATGTGGGTTCAGCACAAATTACTTAATTTTTGGGTAGGATTGACATTACTCTAAAACTGCCAACTTTTAATTTTTGCCAGCTGTGCAAGTTAGCAGATTCTGTGCATAGTCGATTGAGCATTGTCTACGGGGCAGCCTGCCTGTCAAGAATTGATTAGATCAGAATAGCCTGCTTGTAGTTTAGGGAATTCAATATGTAGCGTTTTATTACAGGGAGTCTTCTAGAAGCTTTGCAGCTATATACTTACTCATCGATACGAAGGTGATACTGATAGCATTTAATTGTAACGTGAATAAAGTAATTCTGTAATCAATGAAGTTATTATGACTCGTTTATCAATGCCTGTTTGTCTCAAAGCGATGACATTTATACAGAGATTCTTATTGTATCATCAGTTTACGATCAAACGTGCTTTATGACAACATCTTCTAACCAGAAGATAATGCCTCCAGGGGAAACTATTATCATTCACACACCAAACAATGCTATCGATGCTACAGATAAAAGCTAGAGTCATTTTTGGATGATGGCAGTTTTAAAGTAACTTCATAGCGGGGTCTTAGCGATCTGCAAGCAAAGTTTTGCCATTTTCTCTATGGCTGGAAACCATTTCAACAACAATGACAGCTGCTAATATCATTTATTAGTGTGTGTGTGTGTGTGTGTGTTTGCGTTCACTTCTGCCCGTCTCCTTTTTTTGTCTCAGGTTATGCGAAGAAGTCGATACGACTGTTTCGAGCTGTGGATGGGAGATCGATGTATACTATCTTCTTCGTATTGTCAATCCTGATCTGGCACAGGAATCACGTCGCGCGTCGCATCACTTGCTTCTGTGACCGCCGCCGGAAGGCGCCTCTTCAAGGACACGTTCATTGCACCTTATTGCCTCATCGTCCACATAATAGTAGCATACATACAAACATAGCAGGAGAGATAACAAGACAGACGTAATATCGTAGTCTGCTTCCGCTCGCTCAACTCCGGAATCTGAAATACACGAAGTTGCTTTCTCCATTGTCGTTTTCAGTTTACGACCTCTCGTCGCGTTAAGGTACGCAAACTACGACGAGAACGAACAGAAGCGATCGCAACGGCCCTTCTTGAAGCACATGTGCACTCTTGTTTAATGTGTTCACTCATGTATAACGATAGAGATTCTATAGATACGTTGTGATACCCTTGTTACGTCTCGCATTTTTCTCGCCAGCTACCGTACAGGGGCATTAATGGGTATCTTGTTGCTGTACGTGGCGGTGAAGCATGTCACCCTGGTCATTAGTCGCTATTCGCTATACAATCAGTTTTTGAGGTCATATCTTTGTGCATCTATGGAAACTTTTACACTAGCCGTATACGAATTTATAGATACTTGTTATTGTTTATCTTTTGTTTAAATTTGCTCTTCGGTGATAAGAAATTGTTCTATGTATAATTTTATGCACTAT